CCAGAAACTGTTAAAGAAAACTACCAAAATAAGGTCAGTTAAATGAACCGTATTCCTCCGAACTTTAATTCCTAAAGGTTTGGTTTTTATGTTTTGATGTTGAATTCACTTTTTTGACAGCAAATTTGGGTGTACTGTTTTTTTTTATTTATGTTGTGGGTGTTGGCTTATAGTCCGGTGCGGCTTATATGTTAATGTTCGCGGATTTTTTTTAAAAAATGGCGGGTGCGGCTTATAGTCCGGTGCGGCTTATAGTCCGAAAAATACGGTAGTTTACAGGAAAACCCAGTTTCCCTTAAAGTTACAATGAAGAGAAACCARGTTCAGTAAAAGTGTCCAATTGTCTGTCTTGTAAAGCACTTTGGAGTTTGAAGGGACTTGATAAAGTACTATAYAAGTTCAGACCATTAACGATTTACCAAAAAGAGAAGTTTTGTACTAAACCCTGTGGTCCACTCACCTGTTTTCCATACAAAGTGCGTCCACGTCGATGATGCGCGACTCGTGGTTCCCTAAAACGTGGTTAAGCTCAACATTTAGCCGCTCCGCCTTCTCCCTGAACACGCCGCGTTCCGCCTTCACGTCCTGCAGCTCGTCTGTCAGGGCTTTGATGGTGTGCTCCATCTCCTCCATCTACACACAACCAACAARGCACCGAGATGAACGGAGATGTTTAAAGCTTTGGCCGTTAAAGCGGAGCTTCCTGTAATTCCAGACGTATAGAGTAGCTTTAAGTTAAGGAGCGGCGTTAACCTGTCGCCCTGCTCTCTCCAGCTGGGACACAAGGTTCTCGCGCTCGTGGGCCGGGAAGTGGCGAACGCCCACCTCTTCATCCCCCAGCCTCTGTCGAGTGATGGTCATCCTCAGCAGCTGTGGAAAAGACAAAAGCYGTGTTCCCCCTACCCTTCTTTCATCAGAGCATACGTTGGGCATTACAACCGAACATCAATCGGCTGCACCTTGTTATCTCCCTGAGCCTCGGCCAGCCTCTGAGTGAGGTCCTTCACCTCCTCTGTGAGCTGTTTTATTCGCTCCCTGGAGTCCCTCAGCAGCTGACCCAGGTTCACCTGAAGAGGAGGCAGAGAAAAACAATAAARCAGTCAGCCTACCCCAGTAAAGGTTCAATCAGGACCTCAATTCTTATTATTTGGAAGCTGGCTATAAGGTTGGACACTTGTAACAGTCACATTGTCCTTGAATGAGTTCATGCAGGCCCTTTGTTACATTCATCATGACCATATTTTGCAGTAATTTCACCCAATTATGCCCAACCAGGGAAAGGAGTCTGCATCTACCAGTTCTTGAACAAAGACAGTATGGCACGTATATTAAACAAAGACCAAACATGGTCCACCACAGCATTTTATGTGGCCTGCGAGAGCTTCAAAGATGTATTAATGTCTTAAAATAAGCGTATGATGCTTTAAAGCCAGGATTGATCATAAACTACATCTCCCACAATGCATGTTGATTATTTGACCTGTGAAATGATGGGATCCCACTACTAGGTGGAGGTGCACAGGGTTCAAAAGCAGCCGGCAGACGGAAAAAATTGCCGTGTAAAATTTCTATTTCGTTGCATTTTTGTTAACTACTTTTGCAGTGGCTCAGATGTACTGGGAAGTGGGAATTTCCCACTTACAGGTTGTAAATTTAAGAGGGAGAATTCAGAGTTCAAGATGGCGGCTACTGAGTGATCACACCCCACCCCCCCACTCAATAGTGATATGCTCTTACTTACTTTCTAACACTCTTAATAGTTTTTCCTTATTATTTATTTCACATTAAGTCAGTCGTACACGTAGTACTTTTCAGTGTTTGTAAGAGAACGTGTTAAAATGCTGTTTCTATGCACAAAATACTGGTTATACAAATATGTTTTACTAGTTATTGTTTGCTAGTGGTGCTCATCTGTAGCAATGAATCAAAAAAAAAGTTGACATTCCATTGAAGAAATTTAG